GAGCCTACTACCAGAATACCAGTAGTTCAAGCCTCACAAGCAATTTAATGCTCGAAGCTCATAAATTGAGCATGCGTAACTAAGGAGCAACACATTAGCCTCTGCTCAGTCTATTCTGAAGGAGATAGATGTAGTGTAGAAGACCTTCCTTTATACATGTCCTGACGAATAGTAGGGCATCTCGTAGACAATGCTATATGTTGGCCTGGTAACTGCATGGCCTCCCTTGGCCTCCTCAACCGATGTACTCCAACAAACAAATCAGAATAAAAGGTAAAATAAAACATTACCATTGCTAAATGAACATGGGTAACAATAGCGTTGGAGCTGAGTTGATATCCCTGTTACTCCCAAGGCTGCTGAAGATCACGTAGTAACGGGCCCACTTCAACAGCTCACACCACTTAATAAGGTTCTGTCGATGATTCTTATTGCACTACAGTCGCCAATTTGTTCTTTCACTAGCCAGTAGACACCCATCGAAGCCACCAAGGCTCTGAAGGAATTTCACAAGGCAACCCACCTTAATGGACGTATTCGTCGTTGCATTTATACTAACAACATAAACTAGTGTTCTACGGAATGCAACAGATTCCAAGTTGGCTGTCAGATCATCCCTGTGGCATGATTTGAAAACGAATGCTGTAGCACATGAAGTCACTGTAAAAAATTATTGGAACCATGACCAGTTTAGGCGAACTGATCTAAAGAAAAGCCTTGATTTGCTTTGAAAATTTATGGCTTTGTTTGCAACAAGTATCCCATTCCCTTGCATATTTGACCTTTATATAAACCTGCTTTATAATGACACTCACTACTGCTCTGATTATTTCAATCCATTCACTGATGCTACTCATTCCATGTCAGTAGCAAATCTTTGAACAAGGAAGTGATGCGGCAGGAGGTGCGGTGTGCGATTGACAAATTTAGTGCAACTGCGTCTGCTGATCCGTTTTGACTTACATACAGGTATGACACTGCCGTGAGTCGATGCAAAGCGGCTGCACTTGATCCAGCCTCCAGAGAAATTGAAAGCAGCTGCAATGACCACCACATGAAGCAAAATATGGCCGGCTTATTACCATCACGCTAGTTCTAAAAGTGCAGTGATTTCTGCTTGAAGTTGCAGCAGTTTGAAGCCCTAACCCTTGAAAAAGTTGATATAATTGAGAACAACGTGTACTGGACTTGGATTGACGACCACGATGACAACAACCAACTGGTTGAGTCGCATCCTTGAGTATGCGACGCGAAGTTGTTGTGGTGAAGCGTCGAAGGGTAGATGGTGGTCCGAGGAGACAAAAGTGCCGGATGGCAGAGTGGCCATGTTCACGAGAACGTGGAATACGATATCGACATGGCGAAGCAGCCCAACTCCTAGGCCGACGCCTGCATGCGCTTTTACAAGCACACTTCTACTTCTACCACTCAGCAATCTAATGGTGTGGGAGTTGGTTGCACTGTCACGTGATACTCTGTGCTTGCAGTGGGTAATTGTGCATGTGTGTGTAAATTAATTGGCGTCAAAATGGAAGTGTGCTTGTACAACCACGCGCTTAATAATTCCCAGAAGTTGGTCTACTTCGCATCATTCATGTCTGTCATGTCTCACGCCAACTTGGCTGACCACTCTGCATCCTTGCACTACCTTTCCACCCACACTTTCAAATTCAACATCTAATCAAGAGATTCTGGATCAACCGCTTTTCGCCAGCACGCTCTTACACCAATCTATGGTGTTTGCTTAACAATTCAGTGTAGAGCTGGAGTCACGCATGCAGTGCGAATATTTTCTTGAATCAAGTGATAGCATCTGCACATTGTATTATCCTCAGATCTGCAGTTTGCGGCTTCCACATTATGCTCTTTATTATCAACTCCACTGCTTATTCATTTTGTTACATATTGCCACATCAGTCGCTCGAGTTAAATAACCTGCATATACCTGAACACGAGTTTCCAAACTCTGAGACAAGCAGCAAAATCATGATTCACTGAGTCACTTTCCAGCGCCTTCAAATAGGTGACAAGATGTAGGCGTCATTCACGTCACCAACATGGAAGGCGTGTTTTGTAGCTGCTGCACACAACCAATGCCATTGGCATAGTGTGGGGAGTCACAAGCTTCAAAAATCTCCTAGATTCTAACCATTTACATCAACTTCACATGCGCAGCACACACGCACAATCTCATTTGCTAATTCCTAATACTTTTTGCTCATTGCTTGATTGGAAAAGGGGGAATTAAGCAGAAGGCAGCAACAGCTATGGATGAATTGTAGTGCTGGGTTGTATGCAGAAGTGTCTAAGAAGTTGCATTAAGCGAAGGACTAAAGAAAGGCCTTAGCATTAACATAGTCACCATAGTTTAAGTGTAAGTTAAAGCGTAGGAGCAAGTGGGGGACTACGTGTGAGAGAATTAAGTGGGGATTAGAAATGCTTACCACTGTTAGTTACGTTGCTTGCCTTCATCCTACCAATTCCCACATAACGTCTTCAAATGCAAATGTAGTCCAAGGAGAGTCAACGGATGAGATTCGTTCGTATCAGTTGCCATCTAGACTGAGTACACATAAAATAAAGAATTAACTTGACCTCGGTGAAGGGGTTTAAAATACCTAAGCGTATCTGTCCCTCGTGGAGCATGTTGAATGAATTTTCTGCCTATGATTTCAACGAAAGGCTTCTTACTGACAGCTGTCAAAGCTAGTCAGACAGCTCTTCAATAAGGGTGCATCTTGCCTGTAATTAGAGTAGCGTTGATAAGGAATGACCAAAGGATCATGCTAGAGGAAGCCTGACCCTGTCGACCGACACAACTCTTAACTTTTATCGCAAATGTCAGAAAAAAAAGAATAGTTTTACAGGAAATAGAATGCAAGAAGCATTTCACGCTCATGTCACGCGAAAAACCGGTCATCAAATTAGTGAATCATGAAGGTCGCCCACTGAGTAACTTATCTTGATAACGTTTGCTACTTCGACAATATTTTGGTCAAAAATGTTAAGGGACATCATTTACATATCAAAGAAGAGTAATTTTCTTTGGACGATTCATCTTCCTGAGTGATGTGGTAGTAATGTTGATGATGGCAACGAGATGTAGGTATGGTATAAATAACACCATGGAAGAACGTTGGCTGGCTATTGTGGCAGTTAAGTCATCTACTATGGCTTACTTCTGGTCTTTGCGTCACTGATTGTGCTACCGACTGCTACACAAATGCACAGATGCGAAAATATTATGCATTTGGGACGCATATGCTGAGGAAAATGGGTGAATGCTGCGGTCCTAATAGTCGTTGCCGATACTGCGCTTCTGTGTGGCCTTTGTTATTCGCCATCCAGTAAGAGTATCCTGACCCTGTGCGTCTAGCGAAAATTGGTCCCTTCATCATGGGAATTTATAGTTCAGTCACAACGAATAAGTATGCAAAACGGCTAACATAAAAGCAATTTTTGCTTTCTTCGCTCAATAGATACACAAAAATGTAAAACAACAAAGGTAATTAAAGTGCAGTCGAGTGTTTTTGCTCCCTTTCTTTTATGTACTGCCATTGGTTATTTGACTGTCTTCTCCACCACCCCGTAAAAATCACATTACTGCTGTTGCAGCACCGTGTGATTGGCTACTTGCCTAGTGTCAACCCTCTGCTTATGCTTGTCTTTGCTTAATTACTTCACCACTGAAACTGCAAGAAGCATATAAATTGTGATTTCTACCTAGATTAGTTCGTTGCCTAATTATGCTTTCTATCGTAGTCGTTTGCTGATGCTAGCAAGGTCAAATACCACATCTGGCATAAGATCTAATTTAAAGATGTTGTGTTAAATGCACGGATTTTATGCAGCCTCAAATGTCCCAAATGCAGTGGTGACTTTATTCTCATATAAAATCGAAAATGTCTTGCGGTTGTTAAATGCGCATGAATATGAGGGACGAGCCAGTAGCCTGTTTTCTATTCCTTCCTCTGTTTTCATTTCATTGTCCTAAGTTATTTAACTGACATCATCTGAGCGAGTTAAATTCCCAAAAGGCTGTTTGGTCGACACTGTGCTGGTTAGCATGACATTTCACCATACCGCGTCCTTGTTTAGTGCAATTGACAATGATGAGCATAACACTGGCGCTAACATCACAGGCCAGTCAGAAAGAGGAGTCTTGTCCGATGTCATGCTCTCAGTGACGCAATGGGCTGAGGAATCGGTGTTTGCGCCAGTTGTTGGATTTGGCAATGAGACTTTAATAGCAATGGCATAAGTGCGTGAATATCCTCAAAGTTGGAATAACTGAAATTATTTAGTGACGTTTAATCTTGGTTGCTTCTAATGGTCAGGAGAAAATCATCGACGGCGATGAGATCCTAATCAATTAAAGGAAATAGCAAAATACCTTTGTCGATGTGTTACAGCAAAGAGCAAGTTTTGCATGCTAAATTTTGGTCTTTTAATCAGAAATGCAGAAATTATTTTGAAGATTTTTGCATTGCCTTCCCATTCCTTGATGCAGCGGTGTAGTTGTATTGGCACAGCTCATTGCATCACCTAGTCTGCTTTCTCACTCGTAGCCACTTCTGGCAGTCGTAGACATTCAGTATTCCATCGTCTTCTCCTTAAACGGATACGGATGTCGACAGTGATTTCTTCCACAATCCCCTTTGCGGCTACCCTCCTGTGACTTTCAGAAAGAATACGGACAAGCAAATGAATTTGGAGATGTTCATGATCCTCTTAGAAGACTCATTTTGGATCTGAAACTTAGCAACACTTAGTGGACAATTACTTTCAAGCAGTAAGGTCGGCGGTTCTCACGAATTTGAACACCTTGGAAAAGTTTATGCAACAGCGGATATGTATTGCTAGTAAATGTCTACGTTAACTTGAGATGTGAAGATCACTGCAGTCGATCAAACTACTTTTAAGGCTCTTTTGCCTCTGTGAAATCTTTTATAAGATTTCCTACGTAACAGACGTACTAGCCCTTTTGATTTCTTCAAGTGTCAGTATTTTGGGCCAGATTCGTGCTCTGACTATGCCTTGACGTAATAAATGGGGAAAGGTCAAATGTATTAGCAGTAGAAGAGCGCTGATCATATTTTACTGTGTTGTTATCAAGATAAACTGTACAAGGCAACTTGATGAACATCTTGACCCTTGTCAAATCCAATTGGTGTAAATTGAATACGTGGAATAAAAGAGCACAATTTTGTAACGCATCTGTAAACATGTTGTAAAGATTTTTGGAATGACTGGAGGGAACACTAATCTTTACAACCGGTCTGAAGTCCGCAATGCTTCAGCATCAAAAAAATTAAAGTATTCTCTAAAGTTATGTGCATTCATTTAGCAAATTTTATTAAAAAATTCGTCAACTTCACTCTTTTGATGTTACACTCACGTACAAGTTGTGATTAGTGCATGCGATTCGGCATATCACATCAGAGGTATTAAAAATTGATATTCGTACATTGTTGGACAAACAAGTATTGTAAAGCAATTGACATAGTGGTGGGTCATCCTTATCTGGCAGTCGTCCAGATGCATATTACCTCCTCTGCTAGAAGAAGGAAAGCGTCTAAATAAAGCGATGATTTGATTGGAGGCCTTAAACCTTAAAGTCACTACAAGACTCTCCGATCGCATTGGTAAAGAAGGATAAAGGTAGCCTGTGGCAATGTATTTACTGCAGAAATCTGAACACAGTAGAGAAGAAGGACGCCTTTCCACTATCCCATATCGCTTATTCACAAAACTCCCTACATGGATCAAACTGGTTCGTCAAACTAGACTTCAAATCAGAATACTGACAGGCAAAGTGGAAAAAAAGATAAAAAAAGCTTTCGAGTTGCCAAAGGGGATCTATGAATTCCAGTTAATGCCTTCAGGAGTCTGTAATGCAGCGGCTGCCTTCCAAAGCCTATGCATATCACATTGATCGACATATACCCTAACATTATAGCCCTTATCTAGATTATATTCTCGGCCCTGGTAGAGAGGTTCGAGGACACAACTCCAATTTTGAAACTGTAATGGATGGTATGAGAGAGAGAGTTTACTACAAACACAAAGCGATGCCTTTTTCTGCAGCACTGGGTCAACTTCTTCAGATCATGCTAAATCGTTGGATGAGATGGCAGTTGCAGAAGACTGGACCAAACAAATTAGGACATAAACAGCACAAATCATTTAGACGGAACTCAGTGGTTTTTGTGATTTGAAAAGTTACCACCTGCATTTTGTCTTATGTTGTGCAAAGATCGTCAGTACTCTGCAAAAACTGACGGAAAGGAGGGTGTAAACGCATGTTAGGTTGCAGAAAGAGCATGATGGAGCATGATAAAGAACTGCTGAATGCCTGTTATGCGCTAATTCCAGCCTTACCCAACTCTGAATCAGGCATCCCACAATATGAGCTGTATATTGCTGTTAGTGATGTAGCCATGGGCGGCGTACTCCCACATCAAGGGAGTGGGGAAAGAAGGCACGTCATCGCCTCCTCAAGTACCAAACACAACAAAGGGTGACACACAATGCAAACTGTTCACTATTTTTACAATGGTTAGTTCCGACATAACATGAACACGAAAAGGATCATAATGCGAACAGATCACTAGGCCACGACTGGGTGAAAAACAATGAAGGGGATAGACCATTTAGCTGCACTCTGGTGCAAGGAGCTGC